AAAAAAACATATGGTCAATTAAATACACTGCTCAAAAATTACAGGAACACTTTGAAAACACCTCAGTCTCAATGGGAAAAAAACATGCTTGATATCTACACTGATAGGGAGGAAAATGTGTCAGAAATTAAAATCACCAAGCTACAAAAGGCTGAATTCAAAGATGCCCTGAAAACCAAAAGTGAAAACGATGACGTAGCAGGTTAGTCCATTTTACTGAAATGTCAAAGCAGCAACTCAAAATGGTGTGCAGAGGTGCTGAATTGGATTTAGGTCAGATGAGTGTGAGGGCAAGCTGATGTATCAATTCCTTCATCCTCCATGAACTCCCTGCATACTCTCATCATATGAGGCCGGGCACAGTTGTGCTTCTCCAGACCCTTTCCACGTCTGTTACACGTGCTCAGGGTGAACCTGCTCTCATCTGTGAAAACCACAGGGAACCAGTGATGAACCTGCCAATTCTGCTAGTCTATGGCAAAAGCAAATCTGGCTCCATGGCGTCAGGCAGTGAGGACAGGGGCCACCCTCATGAAATCAGTTTCTGATTGTTTAGTCAGACATTCATGCCAGTGTCCTGCTGGAGGTCATATTCAAGCTCTGGCAGTGTTCGCCCCGTTCCTTCTTGCACAAAGGAGCAGATACTGCTCCTGTTGATGGGTTAAGGACCATCTACAGCCCTGTATAGGCCTCCTACAGTAACTTCCTGTCTCCTGGAATCTCCTCCATGCTCTTGAGACTGTGCTGGGAGACACAGCAAACCTTCTGTCAATGTTTTGCATTGATGTGCTATCCTGGAGGAGTTGGGCTACCTCTAGGGTCCAGGTATCACCTCATGCTAGCAGTAGTGATAATGACCCCAACGAAATGCAAAACTAGTGAAAAACAAAAACAGTCAACAGTTAAATTCATCAACAGCAAAGCAGCTGAAACTGATTAAAAAAAAAACCTCTGCTACTAAACTGATCAGATCAATATCCCACAAGTGTAACTGATTTCATGCAATACTCTGACTAAAAATTGTTCCTTTAAAATTTGAGATATGCATTTTGCAGCATTCCTAAGTTCCTTGAGAGAACTGAGGTTTAGACGAATAATTTATAAAAGCAGATATCAGGATGTGAAAATACAGATAACACTTACTGAGTTTCTCGTAGAATGTGAGACCCTCAAACATACGCTGGTACACCAGAGCTTGTTCTGCTGGGCCATCTGGGATCAGTTTGGTTCCCTGGGTTTTAAACTGGCTCTGCAAGACATTAGGAAAAGACACACATTTAACTGGGGCACATTTTGTGATGTTGCATTCAGTGTGAGTGAATATTTTATCAAAATGACGTTCTCACCTCCAGGTAAAAACAGGCTGCGTAAGATTCATTGATGACATTGTCTCCATGTTTGAAAGTGGGAAGCTGAAAAAGAAATTATAATAGTGTCAGCAAGAAAACTGTCATTAGGTACTGTATAACAGGTTTTAATGCTAAGGCTACTGGGTGTTAATTAGGTTAACCGTTTGTATATCAAACAAATACAATTTTTAAAAAAAAATTGATTACTTATTTTAACAGAACTTTACTGGGATAAAATAACACTCTGCAGTGTTTCCAGTAGTTATGGTTAAAGGCCAGTTTCCAGTCTGATTTGGAGAGTGTAAAGAAAGATGTAAATTAAACTGCTTATTTTACTACACTTAGTCAGCTGCAGGTTATATTTAAGAACCCATATTCAACGATACAACCCCTCATTTCTACATTTTATTAAGCACTATCCTGCTTTTGAGCTGTTCCCTAATAAATAAATTCAATAAGTGTGATGAATATATCCTAGTCAAGTTCAAACTGGTTATCTTAAAGCTTTAATATACATTTAAACATTTTAAACTAGTCGGTTTTTATGATAAATGAAGACAGCTACACGGTGAATTTCTCGCCTCAGATGCTTTCATAAACACATTTCCGTTAACTTTTCTCTAATGTAAACGAGCCGCCATGTTGGTGCAGTTCGGCTGCAAACTCGCGTGCTCATTTCTACCAGTGTTGCCAACTCCTCAGTAAGGAAAATCGCTATTGGTTGTCCTAAAAGTCGCTAAGTTGGCAACACTGATTTCTACACGTGTCAGCTCACGAGAAATGTTCGTCCAATCAGGTGCAGCAGGGCGTGTCCTGAAGTGTTTTCCTGCAATTCTTTATCCGTTAACCCTCCTG